ACAGTAGCTCTGCCAAGGAACCTGCGTAAGGAGATTGTCCAGCTTCTGCATGAGACCTTCAATGAGATCACTGAGGCTGATTACTGTGATATGGGAGAGCACATCAGCGCCCCATTTGGCATCAGGGCATGCATACAGCCAAGCCTTCTTTCTGCAATCCTCCTCGCCCCAACAACCCAACTACTCCCTTCTCAAAATCCAAACTGCTTACTGGGCGCCTCCTCTGCTGTTTGCTCTTACCCAAGCTCCATCTGCTGTGACTGGTTATCTTCCTCCGGGCTTGAAAACAGCTCCTGGCTGCATGCATCTAGGGATGGTGAGTCGTCCTCTGGCTCTGGGCCCCCCTCCTCCTCACTACCCTGGCTCCCACTTTCCTCCTCCTGGCTCGGTGCACTCTGGGATGGCACAGCCTCTGAAGTGCCCATGGTGGGCTTCGCAATGGAGGTGGGGTCACCCCAAAGTATCGCATCCAGATCTTTGTAGAATCGGCAGGTCATGGGGGCAGCACTGGAATGGAAGTTTGTCTCCCGTGCCTTGTGGTAGGTTCCGCAGCTCCTTCGCTTTTGCCCTGCACTGAGTCTCGGTCATGGCTCCTTTCGGTCATGTCCCCTGATATCTGTCCATAGGCATCATAATTCCTACAGCTGGAGCCAGGGCCGGCTCCAGCATTTCTGCCTCCCCAAGCAAAGAAAAAAAAAAATCCACGATTGGCAGCGGCAGGTCCTTCGCTCCTAGACGGAGTGAGGGATCTGCCGCCCCCAAATTGCCGCACATGCCGCCCCTTTCCCTTGGCTGCCCCAAGTACCTGCTTGTTAAGCTGGTGCCTGGAGCCGGCCCTGGCTGGAGCGCAGCTGGGACTGGACAGCCTCCTCTCCCCAAGCACTGATGAGGTCCAGCACCTTGGCATTGCTCCATACTGGGGATCGCCTGGCTCGTGGAGGCATGGTCACCTGGAAAGATGTGCTGAGAGCACGCCACACCTGGCTGAGCAAACAGGAAGGGGACTTTGAAAATTCCCAGAGAATTTAAAGGGCGTGTCTGATGATTGGTCACCTGAGGGCAGGGCAGTAGAGTTCAAAGTGATGACCAGAGTGGCTAGAACAGGCATTGTGGGACATATCACGGAGGCCGATCAGAGCACATTAACAGACCAGGGCATCCACACTGGTACTGTGGCACTTTGGCCTGGGTGCAGCAAGCTCTATGCCTCTCATGGAGGTGGATTACCAGGAGTGCTCCAGGAATCAGGCCACTCTAAGTGCCTTGCCAGTGTGGACACTTCAGGAGTTATAGCACCCGAAACTGATTTAATGAGTTCCAACTTGCAAATGTAGACAAGGCCCTACTCTGTGGTGCTGGCTGCTAGTGTGTGTCTGTGGGGCGGAAGACAAGGGGGCGCTGGAAGAGAGAGGGGAAGGGCGAACTAAGAAGCCAGAAAGGAGGAAGAGAACATTTGAGCGGAGTGGGTTCTAAAGAAGTCTAGAGAGATGTTGAAGCCAGTTCAGTGGCATTTGGGCACCAAACTCCCCCAGGTTCCTTGGAAAATCTGAATTTAGGGCCTGAGCCCGAGACACCTTAAGTCAAAGGATGGACTCATGTTGAGGTCAATGTGTTTTGTGTCACGCTGTGAGCTTCCCTCTCACCTGGAACCTCCATTGGTTTATTCTACCTCGTTATCTATCCATCCATCCATCCATCCATCCCCATACATACCTATCCATCGTTCCCCACACATTGCCATCTATCTATCTATCTATCTATCTATCTATCTATCTATCTATCTATCTATCTATCTATCTATCTATCTATCTATCTATCTATCTATCTATCTATCATTTTTATAATGTCAGTGGAATATTAGCAGCTAAATCCTGTAGGTAAATCATTTAAAATAGCCTAGTTTTTAAAAATAAGGTACTACTGATCTCTCCTTCCTTATCACACCATACAGGGATTGGCTGTTCCTTCAAGGTGAGAAAGTTGGACTCTTTGGCTGTATTATAAGGCAACCAGATTCAGAAAAAAAGATGAAGCAGATTTAAAGGTGAAACCAGGAAAGTAACTACAATATTCCCAGATATTTAGATGTTCGTGTGATGAGGGGTCCATAGACAGACAGACGCACGACAGATAAACCTTATATCACCAGCCTCTAATTGTATTTGTGAAGTGACCACAGATATTGTTGGAAAAAAATGACTGACAATTTAAGTGTAACAGATCAGATTCTGCAAAACGGAATTTCCCCCCCACTGAATCTCAATTAACAAGATTTCTCTTCACCGCCTGGTGACACCCGCCTTTTTCAAATGATAATGGATTCTGCAGTAGGGATTAACTCTCTTGAGAAATTTCAGAGTAGCAGCCGTGTTAGTCTATATCGGCAAAAAGAAGAACAGGAGTACTTGTGGCACCTTAGAGACTAACAAATTTATTAGAGCATAAGCTTTCGTAGACTACAGCCCACTTCTTCGGATGGATTTCTCTTGAGAAAGTGACAGTACAAATACTTTTGTCTCTGTATCTTGCGGCAGTGCGCCCATGTGGTCGCCAGAGGGCGCTGCAGTTGAAGTAAAATGGTCCCTTTAAAGCTGCCTGAAAGGTCTATTTCATCGCGTGACTTTTCATTCAATCCAGTTCTCCTGCCGCCGCCTGAGCGCGCCCCCGACAACACCGCGGCCCGTCTTGGAGCACCGGGTGAAGGGCAGATGCAGAGGAGAGAGACGCAGAGGGAGGTTTCTGCTGTTCACCCCAGGGGTCACTCACAGCTCGAGTTGCGGCAGTAGCATCGCTGCAGGTTATTCACTGCTCGCCACTCCGCACGATAAGTCTCTCTCTGGCTTGTAGCTGCGGGGAAAGGCGGAGCCCCCCTCTGGCTGATTCCCACGGCGGTCAGACAGACAGAAAAGGGATTGAGAGACGCTGCTATTCTGCTGTGAAGATGGGAACGATCCCGGGCTCGGGGATTGTGCTGATTTTTCTTCTGAGTGAGTGAGGTTCCTGTTTCCCCACCTCTCTCTCTTTCTAGCTCCATCTGCCCCAACACACACCCCGACTTTCTCTCTCTCAATCTGACCTAACTATCCACCCTTCGCCTCTGTGCTCCGTCATCCTCTCTCCCTAGCTCTTCAAAACACCCGTGACAGCCACAAGAATAGGGTGGGCGCTGGTGACAGGGAATGAACCCACAGAGCCCCGAGGACGTTTCAGGCCAGCTAAATTAATTCTGTTTCTGGTTTTCTCTCCTAGTGGCCCCGGGCAGAGCCAAGATCCAGCAGCCGGGCTCCGCAGACGGTTTGGAGGGAGGCGAGCTGAACCTCACCTGCTCTCACCCCTCAATCAAGACGAATGAGAATGTAGTTTGGTACCGGCAGTTCCCGAACCAAGGACCCCAATATATAGTTTCTGGATTCCGGGAAACTACTCATAGCACCGACCCCGAGGGAGCTTTGCATGTTTCTGGAGACAGAAAGTCCAGCGCCCTGGCCCTGCGCAGGGTGCGGCTGGCGGACGCAGCGGTGTATTATTGTGCTCTGAGCGACACAGTGGGACCGCCAGGGGCTGGTCCCGTACAATAAGTATCTCACTGCGGCCTGTGTGTGCGTAGGCGGTGGGAGGGGTGAATGTGGAGTGTGTTTCCATGAGGGGGAGGGCAGAGGGGCGATTAGGGGAGATAAAAGAGATGAATAAAAGATTTGGGGCCAAATTTTCCAAGGTCTTGGTGCGCCTAACTATTTACTTAGGAGCCAAATGAGATTTGATCCTTTGGAAACGTTCTAAGAAAATCTGCTTCAGGGAGAACTATGAAGCACAGTAAATGAAAAGTAACAAACCTTTCCCATTACATCTGCAAGGAGGCTATTTTGATAGAGAGATGAATGGATAGAGTCGGCGCTGTTGTAGCCCCGTTGGAGGCAGGAATATGAGACAGACGAGGTGGGAGAGAGAATATATTTTATTGGACCAACTTATTTTGGTAAGAAAAACAGCTACAGGCGTTGGTCCAATAGAATATATTACCTCACCCACCTTGTCTGGAAAGATTAGAGAAGGAGAGAAGGAGAGGGAGAGATGAGAGGCAGAGACAGAGAGATGATGAAGAGAGAGAGCGAGAGAGAGAGAGAGATGCTGGAGAGAGATAACACAAGACCATCCTCGAATTGCATTTGTGAAATGGACACAAATATTACTAGAAAAAAATGACTGGGAAGTTTAGCAAATATTATTCTGCAAACGAATTTTCCCCAGACAGGAAGTAAGCACATATGGAGTCTAAATTAATAAAATTTCACTAAACAGCCTGGTACCATCCGCTTTTTCCAATTGCTCAGGGAATTTCTCAGGGAGCACCTCACCTGGGAAAGTCGCTGTAACAAGATTTCTGAGCGGCATCTCACTACAGTTCGCGGATTGTCCCGCCAGAGGGCGCTGCGGTACAAGCAAAAATGCTCCCTATAAACCTGCCACCGCAAGGGTTTATTTCACCTCTTGGCTTTTCATTCAATCCAGTTCTGCTGTCACCCCCGGAGCGCGCCCCCGACAACACCGCGAGCCGTCTTGGAGCCTCAGAGGCAGGGCAGTTGCAGTCTGCAGAGCATAGCGGAGAGACTGAGGGAGGTTTATGCGCTTAACGCAAGTGTCGCTCACAGCTCCAGTTCCAGCAGTAGCATCACTGCAGGTTTGGGCTTGTAGCTGCGGGAGAAGGGTTCCCACAGGGGAAGGAAATGTGTTAGATCCGCAGCTATTCCGCTGTGCACTGTTGTGCACCAGTCTCCCCACGTTAAAAGAAGTCCCGCACAGGCATCTTCCAGGGTTTTTTGGAAAATAACTAACTTGTGGTTCAAGGACTGGCCTTATTAGCCACCTGAGGACCCATAATTCCCATGGGAGATGATCATACTTGGTAAGGAGTGGTCGCTAATCATCATCATCTTCATCTTCCCCTATGAGGATGGGAATCACCCCCGGGCTCAGGGATTGTGTTGCTTCTTGTTTTGAGTGAGTGAGATTCCCGTTGCCCCACCTCTCTCTCTTAGTGTCTCTTTTTCTGTCTACCTCCATCTGCCCCAACACACACCCCGACTTTCTCTGACTCAGTCTGACCTAACCATCCACCCTTCGCCTCTGTGTTCTGTCATCCTCTCTCCCTAGCTCTTGTAACCCCCATACCAGCCACAAGAAGAAGAACAGAGGTGCTTTGGCCACAGGGAATGAACCCACAGAGTCCCCAATA